TTTTTTTTTGCTCTGTCACCCAGACTGGAGCGCAGTGGCACGATCTCGGCTCACTGCAACCTCCACCTCATGGGTTCAAGCGATTCTCATGCCTCAGTCTCCTCTCCTGGGGCCCTTTCCTGAGTGGCTAGGACTACAGGCGTGTGCCACCACGCCCAGCTAATTTTTGTATTTTTGGTAGAGATGGGGTTTCACCATGTTGGCCAGGCTGGTCTCAAACTCCTGGCCTCAGGTGATCCACCCGCCTCAGCCTCCCAAAGTGCTGGGATTACAGGCGTGAACCATGGTGCCCGGCCCCTGTTTAAAGTATTCTTGATACATCTCTGTTGCAGGAGTAGGAGTATCTGAGTATCTGTTTGCTGCTATTAACTTCTTCTTTTTTCTTTTTTTTTCTCGTTCTGTCACCCAGGCTGGAGTGCAGTGGCATGATCTGGGCTCTCTGCAACCTCTGCCTCCAGGGTTCAAGCAATTCTTATGCCTCAGCCTCCCAAGTGGCTAGGACTACAGGCGTATGCCACCACATCTGGCTAATTTTTGTATTTTTAGTAGAGACAGGGTTTCACCATGTTGGCCAGGCTGGTCTTGAACTCCTGACCTCAAGTGATCTGCCTGCCTTGGCTTCCCAAAGTGTTGGGCTTACAGGCATGAGCCACTGCGCCCGGCCTGCCGTTGACTCTTAAGTGCTCACAGAGTCAGCTCTCAGGGTCCGGGAGACTGTCTGTTCCCGGTGACGGTTCCTTCCTGCGGCCCCGGGCTCACTGATTCTTCTTTACAGTGACAGCATTAAAGAGAGGAAAAGGCTTCATCTTTTCCTGTCTGCCGTCTCTTTAACAGTCTCTGCTTCAGCCAGAAGCAGTTATTCTTGGGGGTCACATAGTGGGCTCAATCTTTGCCTCTTACCCTCTGTCATGTATACATTTTACTCCCTGACCTAGTTCACCCACATCTGTAACCCTTCACAAAACAATATTACAGCCAGTGCATTCCAGTACTTTCTTTTCTTCTATTATTCTAAGAATTATCTTGTACTTTCTATTTTATTTCATTTTTTTAAATGCACTCATTACCCACTAAAGTGATTTCATAATACATTGGTGAATGGCAATCTATGCTTTGAAAGTCAGTGCTCTAGCTTATTCACCTAAATCCTCTGAGTTTTCCCATTTATGTATTAATTACTCTGCAGAAAAGGCTTTAAGATTATTTTCAACTGAAGCTCTTCCAAAGATTTCTGTCAGAAGCTACTTTTTATGTATTGAAAGGGCTGCGCCTTTCTTTTTCTCTTGTTAACATAAAAAGCACACTTTGAACATTAGGCAGTTTTTAAGTGATCACGGGATGGTTTCAGCAAGTTAATAACAAATATTTGTTGATTGCTATGTTTTGCAAAAGATGACCTAAAAGCACTATTCGTGTGTGTGTGTATGTGTGTGTGCGCGCGTACTAACATGTACTAATAAAGTCTTTCATTTTAAGACCATAAAAAAGTAAGCTCTCAACAAATGTGAGATATTTTTACTGGAGTCGATCAGATATGTACCAAATAACTAATCCAAATAACTCAGTGTATTGGACCCCTCTCCTGCCTCTAGAATCAGCTCTTCCAAAGGGCCTTGGAACTTCTGCCTGCGTCAGTACGGAGGGCCGGGGACTTTTTCATTCTAAGGCTACATTTCTAGTAGGTGTCATATTAGACCCATCCCATCCCAGGGTGCCACATGATCAGATGACAGTAATTGCAGGCACCAGTGCCATGAATTATCTTTTTTCTTTTTTCTTTTCTTTTCTTTTTTTTTTTTTTTTTTTTTTTTTTGAGACCAAGTCTCACTCTGTCACCCAGACTAGAGGGCAATGGCACAATCTCGGCCCACTGCAGCCTCCACCTCCCATGTTCCAGTGATTCTCCTGCCTCAGCCTCCTGGGTAGCATGGATTACAGGCATGCGCCACCACGCCTAGCTAATTTTTGTATTTTTAGTAGAGATGGGGTTTCACCATGTTGGCCAGGCTGATCTCAAACTCCTGACCTCAGGTGATCCACCCACCTCTGCCTCCCAAAGTTCTGGGATTACATGTGTGAGCCACCACACTAGGCCAATTATCTTGTCTTTTAGCCGTCCCTACTCTCTGGTCAGTCCCATTTTAAAAGCAGATACTTGATTTATCAGTGTTCACTATAGAAAGTAGTTGACCACATTGGACTTGGCAGACATTTCAGAAGACGTGGTGTTGGTTAGAATTTTCTGCATCCCACATATTTTTAAAATCTGCAATTTAGAGAGAACTTTACCCAGTCCAGCCCTAGGGGTAGATGGATGCACCCTACTGACCCAACTCATTGCAAGGCCATGGAAATAGGAACTGACAGTGTTGCCCCAGGAAGCTGGAGAAGTGACACACACATGTGTTGTGTGGGCCTCCCAAGTCCCTTTCCCAAACCTGAGATTCTCTGATTCTCAGTGAAAGGTGAGCCTCCTTTATGGGTCTTGGGTTAGCCACCCTGTTCCTGTCCTAAGCAAACCCGGAGGTCGTGTGAGCTGAAGATGCTACCTTCACAGGGCTAGTGTGGCTCATAGCCCCATAGGTCACATTCCCTGCTTCCCTACCACACACAACCACCAAGCTGCTTTGATCTTTCCATAGAATCTTCTCTCCTTTTCCTACAGCCACTCTATCAGGCAAATTGGTATTTACCCCAGATACCCAGGAAGGGTTACAGTCTTTCGGCCTCCTGAAAGTACGAATTGCTCTCCTCTCCAGGATCCCCAGTGCGGCCGCCCATGAGACCCAGTGTTCGTCTTTAATTTTTTCCTCCGAGCCTTACCTCTCCAACTTCCTGGGTCCCCTTCTCAAGACGGGCAAGGGTGATTCATCGGTGCAAGCCATAGCTTCTGGCTTTGTCTGGCTCTCTTGCCAAAGTCTCTAGGCTTCTCAGGGTAATATCCCTGATTGCCCACTGCTCCTAAAATTTCCCCTCTCTCTGCAACACCAAGTTCCTCAGCAAACGCTGTCACCCAAGCAACTTAGCCGGGACCTAGGGCCTTTCCTCTGCCTTATCTAATTGGGCCCTGGAGTTTTCCTCCTTCTATAGCATCTACAGAAGTTCTCTCAGTGTCTTCTCTTAATGACTTCATCAGTGGCCCAATGTGTTCTTTCTGTGGGCGGGGCAGACAGGCTCTGTGGGTATCTGCCAGTTTCTTCCCCAATAGGCTGGAGAAAAATCAGAGACATGTTTCCTATCCTCAAAGAGATGAAAGCCCCAGAGGAGGCCACCATACTGAACGGTGGGTCTGTTTCTCTCTGACTTCTACCCCCAGCTTCCCACTGGGCCTCCCTAGCTGAGCTGGACCAAGTGGAAGTCAGGAGTGCTCCCCTGCCCACAGGGCATGGTCTTTCTAGGATGCAGAGGCAAAGCTAGAACTCCCCAGTACCTAATGCCCTGATTGCTGAGGGTGGGAGAAAGTGTCCCCAGAGGCACAGGGCCACCAAATAGAGGGCCCAGTCCCAGCAGCAGGTCACAAGCATCCCTGCTTGGAACAAGAGGGAGCAGCTGCACCAGCGAGACTGTGGGATAGCCGGTGGCCTCAGCAGGGGTGGCGGTGTTGGTGTTGCTATTTGTGTCTCGATTCAGTGTCGGATTGCCTATTCCTAGCTATTTTCCACTGGCAGAAGAGGCCAAATCTGAGAGTCCTTTCAGTTCCCAGCACCAAGCTCCCGCTATTGGGAAGAATGTGTGTGTGGGCGGGGGGGGGGGGGTTTGTTTCCCCCTTTTTGTTGGGATTTGAAGCCCTCATCAAGAAATGGGGGAAGCCTGTGACCCTGGGCAAGTGCCTTTTCCTCTCTGGGCCAGTTTCTTCCTCTGTGACACAGTGTCAGGAGGAGGAGCTAGTAAATGTAGTAATTGTTGGCCTCCTATAACTCTGATGTCCTGGCTGCTCTAGGGAGCATTGGGTCTCTCTCATTTACTCCTCTCCATGGTAGCAGTGGCCACACCTCCCATGGGACTTGTACACCTCAGACTCTGCCTGCCACATAAATGTCCTCTAATTGTCAGAGCACTGCCAGGTAGACCTTCCCCTCTCCAGTTTACAAAGGAAGAAATGAAAGATTTGAAGTGAGATTACAACTAAAAGATGTGGGATTAAAATAAGATGTCTGGGAAGAGGTTCCAGTTATTAAGATCCTGCTGGTCTCACCTGGTCTGAAGAGTTAGAGTTTTATCAGTTATTCTCACCTTTTATTCAGAATAAGCAAGGATCCAGCAGAGGAAGGGGACTGTCACTGGCAGGCCCTGCCTTGACTGCTGTCTCACTTCCCTGCTCAGAAAGTGCCCAGGCCTGCACATTACCACCCAGGCTCCTTGCCGTCGTGTTTCTGGTCTCTTGCAGGCCTTCCCCACCTTCCCCTCCAGCCTGACCTCCCACCTCCCCTTCTGCAGCAACCTCTGCATATTTCACCTCCTCCACCTTCATGCAAACATAGGATCCCAGCATCCCCAGCACGCACCCTGTTCCCCTGGCCCTGGTGCATGTTAGTCAACCCTCAGGAGACCGCTACCCTCCCATCCTGCCCATTCGTCATCTTAGGCCAAGCTCAAATCTCACCTCCTCTGTGTTGCTTTCCCTGACCGTGAAGCCAAATGTGTGCAACTCTCTCTGTCTCTGAATTTCTGCACCACCTACTCGCTGGATACTTGGACCTGGGCAGAGAGTGTATGCCGCCTTTTCCATTAACTTGCTCACCAGTTCCCTTTGTTCTGCCATTGGAAAAGGTCCAGCCCTGGTGGTCCCTTCAGCCCCTCCCTCACCCATACTCCCACGAGTGTCTTGACCCACTACTGATTCTTTGAACCGAGTCTGAATCATCTTTGTTATCCCCAACCACCAGCCTTCTCCCTGCCCAGCAACCAGCACTGGAAGGAGAGCCAGGCTAAGGCTCAGTTAATGTTTGTTGAGTGACTGGATGGGTTTCTGTGGCCCCTGAGAGGTAAATGAAAGCCAGTCAAAGCAATGGGAATCATTATTGATTAAAAGTCACACTTGTTAGTTTCCGGCCAGGTCTCAAATCTGATTCTGGGTTGATCATTTTCCCCACACCACCTTTGTCACTAAGGCTACTGGAGGCCCCACCAGGGGCAGAGCTGTAATGGGAGTTTGGGCTGAGACTGTCCTCTGCATATTTCTTAGTTGTCTAAAGTCACCTTTCAACTCTTTCACCAAGGCACAGTGATTCCTGTCAACAAGGAGGAAGTGCCAGTGTGACCTCTGTGACCCTTCAGAGTCCCCTCTCCAGGTGCTGCCCCAACATGAAAGCAGGAATTACTGTGGAAAGGCACAGGCTTGGACTGAGGGGCTGGGGGAGGGCTGTTGGACCCCCAGATCATGGGCTCTCCTCTGGAAGCATTAACAGAGGTAAATGGTTAACAAAAGGGAGGATTTCTCCCTGTTCCTCCTCCTCTGCCACAGTATTGACTTGTAACCACTGACCTTTCTGTGAGGTGTGAGATTCTGAACAAAGTTGAACGTGGTCATGGATGGTTAAATTCCCACCTTTCCCTTCGGCCCCTGCCTCTGCCCTCTGCCTTCTCGAAACATGGCCCGAGATGTGGAGGCCACCCCCTGGATGTGGTGGCCGCTAAGAGAAGGAGACACACTTGCTCACAGAAAATGAAAGTTGGCCATGACCCTCTGACCCTTTAGGAATCCAGAGCCTTGGCTCCTAGAAGCCACTGAGCACTGTAGTAAGAAGGCCAAGCCAAGCCAATCTGATTGAACTTAACAGAGAAGTGAAGTTCCCTAGCAGAAGAAGGCATTTTGGAGCACCCATCCTGGAAACAGCTTCCTAGCCTCGGCCTTCTACTTATTTCTTCCTGCCCACTCCTCCTTCCACCCCACCCCGCCCCCAGGGACCTGCCAGCCCACTGCATAAGACATTTTTTAATTTGCTGGCAAAATCCCCCAGCACCGGGCTTCGCAGCCCTCCCCCGTTACCCACATATTTTTTTATGGGGTATAGCCCGCTAGCTTGCAGTTCCACCCCTCTGCACCCTTCATTGAGTTTTGGGAGAAGCACCATCCGGTCGTGTCATTTGTTCAGGATGACTTTTCCATTCCGTGCCCACTGTGTTCGTTTTCCTGGAATGTTCCCATCATCTCCTGGCTCCCGTTGGCCAGGGCCAGCATGCCATCTCCACGCTGTTGTGTGTGACGGTTTGGTGCTGACCCAAGGGGTGGGCTGGAGGAGTATGAGCCTGGGCTGGGTCCTTGGAAAGCCTGGAGTTTCTTGGTTTCATGCATTATCCATCCCCGACCACTGAGAGCTGAATAGGAGCATGCAGTTAGCACCCTTGAGCTGGTCTTTGTGACCTTTCCCTAAGCAGCCCAATCACACACTGCCATGCAGCTTGGAAGTTCAGACCTGGTTTCCAAATCCACAGAAGCTGAGAGGAGAAAGAAAATCTGAGTGGTTACCCAAGATGCCGGCTTTGTCTCTACATCCTTCCCTACCTCAGCCCTGTGCGGCAGGCAGGAGTGTAGGAACTCAGGCAGCTGGACTGGGGAGGAGGGAGAGAAGGAAGGATGATACCAGTTTAGGCTAGTGAGAAATCTGTAAAACCCTAGATGTGCTGTGCCTGGGAACAGACCATGAACACCCCCACGAAGCTCTCAGTGGTCAAACCAGATTTGGGTATCGACTCACTTTGATCTCAGCTCTTCCTGCTCTCTTAAAGGTCCAGTTTGTGATCCTCTTTAAAGGAATATTTTATTTTCAATACAGACACAGCCCTTGATGTAGCAGTAAAAACCTTCCCCCCCGAGAGACACGTGGCTGTGAAGTGTTTTGGTATGTAACATCCTATCTTTGCCTATGTGGAAGGGGTTATCCCATTGCTTCTTTTGTCCCTCAAGAGGGTGCTCTCCCTAAGCCCTCGTGCCCAGGCCCAGGCCCAGGAGCACTCTAGGGAGGGCAGGGGTCAATTCAGATGGGAGATCCCTTCTGGCAGGGGACTGGTTTGGGATGGGGAGCGGCTGTCATCCTTCACCCAACAAGAGTTTCTTTGAGAACGCTACTCCCTGCCCCCCACTTTGAAGATGGAAGTCAAATTTTCGGACTCTGCTGTGCAGAGCAGAGAGGTCACTAGGCTCTAATGCATTTACCATTGACTGCCCCTCTTGTAGTGCGTCTATTAGTGAGTAATTTGATTTGTACCTATTCATTTGCAGTCCCTGCAGGAGCCTGGAGCTGGCCCCTAGTATAATTGGTGCTGTCTCTATTTTTACATCATTAGATTAGCCCCGACTCCTGGCCACTTGTTGTCTGCGCTTGTCTGTCCATTTATACAACCTAATGTAACACAAAATTCATTACTGATCACATTACTTTCAACTCTGAAGCCAGCCTTGTGATAAACATTTGGTTAACCCCTTCCTACCCACGGGAGGGCTGACAGAACAAATGCACTTCCACCCGACAGGCAAATCAATATCTTAATACACCAAAGTGGAATTGCATTTCTAGATTTGTTATTCCTCCTGGAGGAGCAAATGGAAAGGCTCGCCTGAGCCAGCTGAATTGAATAATGAATAGAGCCCCGGCACCAGCAGCCAGTCTGCGAGCACAGCACAAAGGCAGACCGGCATCAGCCCGGCCTTTTCCATCTGGACGGGCGGCGGCACCACCACAATTAGCTGAGACCGTGATCCTTTCCCAGCCACGGCGTGTGGGCTTGAGACACAGGCTGGGACCCCAAAGAGGGCAACAGAGGCCATGCCCCAACACCATTCCTTTAGCTAGGCTTGCCTAGAACACTAGATCAAGAACTGGGTTAGTTAACTTCAAACCTGGTTCACTGATGTCAAGGCTACCAGACGCTAAATGCCACCGAGAAGTTAAATCGATTACTAAACTCAGGTTTACCATCTGGAAACAAACCTAAAAAGCTCTATCTCTTTAGAGCCAGGTCAGTGCATTGGGATTGGTTGGTTCACACCAACTTGTATGTGTGTGCCTGTGCCCAGGGCCAGCATTCTTCGGCACGCAGATGCCATGTGTGCCTGTACATGGTTCTGGTTCTCTGGTAGGGTTGCTGTGAGCAACATGTGGGACTCCAACACGGGAGCTGGCCAGGGGTCTTAAAGGGACCTCAACCTCAGCACAGTATTATTAATCTAGAAAATTCTCTCCTACCCCCAGCCTAGTCATCCTCTCCCCAACCCCCATTGGTCTCTGGGTAGCAGCCACAGCCCCAATAAGTCATTAACTTTCAGGACAGCTTGTTTCAAAGTGAAAAATACTCCCACTTATTAAGAAACTCTCATAAAGCCTGGGGCCGGGCACGGTGTGGCTCACTCTTGTAATCTCAGGACTTTGGGAGGCTGAGGAGGGTGGATCACCTAGGTCAGGAGTTTGAGACCAGCCTGGCCAACATGGTGAAACCCCATCTCTACTAAAAATACAAAAATTAGCCAGACGTGGTGGCACATGCCTGTAATCCCAGCTACTCAGGAGGCTGAGGCAGGAGAATCAGCTTTTGTTATTTGGCTTTTTTTTTTTTTTCGGAGACAGAGTTTCACTCTTATTGCCCAGGTTGGAGTGCAACGGCACAACCTCAGCTCACCGCAACATCTGCCTCCCAGGTTCAAGGGATTCTCCTGCCTCAGCCTCCCCAGTAGCTGAGATTACAGTCACCCGCCACCATGCCCGGCTAATTTTTTGCATTTTTTGTAGAGACGGGGGTTTTACCACGTTGGTCAGGCTGGTCTCGAACCCCTGACCTCAGGTGATACACCTGCCTCAGCCTCCCAAAGTGTTGAGATTACAGGCCTGAGCCACCGTGCCCGGCCAGGAGAATTGTTTGAACCCAGAAGGTGGAGGTTGCAGTAAGCTGAGATCGCAACACTGCACTCCAGCCTGTGTGAAAGAGTAAGACCCTGTCTCAAAAAAAAAAAAAAAAAAAAAAGGAGGGAGGAAGGAAGGGAAGGAAAGGAAGGAAAGGAAGGAAGGAAGGAAGGAACTCTCAGAAAGCCTGTACCACAATGATTAGAAAAATTGGCATAGGGGAAGGAGAATGGAACCATTACCATGAAAGTCATAAGTGCCATGAACAGAAGATCCTCCAGTGGGAAGGGAAGCGGGGAAAAGCAGCCCTCTAGGGACCATTCTGCCTGGATTTGGATATGGGGAAGTTCTGGGCAGGAGGCCGAGGGGCAGAGGCACTGAAGCCTGAAACAGGACACCCCCTCTCACAGAGGACTGCACCTTGGACCCTGCTGTCCCTGCAGCTGTCCAGAGCCCTTCCAGGCCGGAAGTGGCAAACAGTCCTGTGAGACGTGGAGGTCCTGGAGATTCCTGGAGAGGGCCAGGCACCACTCAGGGCCTTGTCTATTAGACGGATTCTTCCACCATCTCTCATACCTCTCCTCCTTCGTGTACAGGGAGGGGGCAGGGAGAGGGGCGCCTCCTTGCAGCAGGCCCAGGGCCTCAAGGTGAGAAGTAAGAGGGGGGGAAGGGCCTCACCCTGTCCTGGGCTGTAGGACCAGGCCCAGCTACCGAGAGCTCCTTGTCCCAAAGACTCCAGAATCGTAACCCTCAAGCACTTCCTGCTGTGAGGAGCTACGAAGCAAGCAGGGGTCCCCTCAGCAGGGTATTATGACAGCACCACATCCCAGCAGTGGAAGGACACTGGTGTTGTCACTGAGGTGAGCCTGGGCACAGTGCTGTCTCCTCGGGTCGGGGAGACCCTTTCAGAAGGAGTCAGGGCACTAACTCCCCACCCCCACCCCCGATGAACCCCCAGCACACTGTCTTGCTCGGCTGCAAGCCCGAAGCTTTGACCTCAGCTGTTAATCCTCTCAGGTGGGTAAATGGAACACAGGGGTGGGGGAGATCTGTGTATCCCATGCTGGCCCCAGCCCCATAAACTCTAGAAAACAGATAAGGGCACAGGCCTTCACCTTTGCAGACTAGGATGGACCAGTGGCAGGGAGGAACGCCCGTCTGCCTGTGGAATGAGAGACTGTGATTTCTTAACCTTGATGGAAAAGGGGAAAGCCACATCTTACCAAACTCTTCCGCTGCGTCGTAGGGAATTTAATTACATTTGGACATTGGAATGAGAAGCAGATGTGGCTCTGGCCTGCTGGCCAGCAGCTCTCAAAGGACAGCCGCTGTCCTGTGGTCTGCAGGGCTCAGTGCTATCTCGTCACGCTGGAGGGTAGCTCGGGGAGACCCCTTCCCAGGAACTAGGGTGGGTCTTCCAAGCTTCAGGGCTGGACTTCAGGACACAGACAGGTCAAGGCCAGCTGCCAGCACCTAGTGCCAAGGACCAGTCTCCAAGCCCTGTCCCCTCTTCATAGCCGGGCAGAGCAGGCCTGTGTGCTGGTGCCTGAGACTCCTCCAGGCCCCTCATTGGCATCCACACAGAGCGGTGGTGTGGCAGCACCTGGATGGGCGTTCTCCATCCCAAGCCCGCCTGCCATGCCCCTCAGCACTGAGTCCACCCTAAGTGGCATCGGCCAAGGCTCTGCCCCCAGGTTGGCACCGAGGAGCTGGAGCTAGGAGGGATATTTCAACCCCCCTCCTGGGGGGCCCTCCGCCTGCTAGAGACAGCGGAGGCAGCAAAGCTTATTTTTTTACCCAGAGGTCTCGCGTGCGTGTCCAGTGCGGGTTCTGCTTCTTAAAGCCCCCCACATGCTTTTCTCATTAGAGCCATACACGCCCAGTGAGGTCACTAGAGCAGACCCTCCCCTCCTGTGCCACAGATGCTGATGCAAATGAGAAGTGAAGTGACTCGCTCAGGTCATTTGGCACATCTGTGACAGAACTGAGGCCAGAGCGAAGTCAGCCTCTTAGCACAGTCCTCCTCCTCCCCGGGCCGTCCACAGGGAGCGGCAGGGCAGGGCTTCTCCCACATCTGGCCGATCCTCGGCATGGCTCCGGCCAGTCCTCAGACACATCCAAACTAGGGACATAGGAGCTGGGTCAGCGCAGCCTTTTCTGTCCCCTCGTATAGCATGTGGTGACCGCATGTACTCTGCCTTGGTCAGGGTTTCAGGTTTCACTAACGTAGTGGGCACTGAGAGGGTCCCCGGATGTGGGGTGCAGTCGAGGTGGTCTGGGTGGGTGATCTTCTCCTTTCAAGCCAAGACCTGGGGAGGCATGGGTAAGGTGGCTTTACTGGGAGTGAGGTGTGGCAGCCTTCTTGGGGGAAATGGCCCCAGTCCCCACCAGGCCAGCACACCCGGTGGCTCAGACCTGCCCATGCCACCACTCTTTAGTCGTTCAAAGGCTGCAAAGGAGAACCCGCGCCGGGCTGGAAGCTCTGCCTGGAGCTCCAGTGCCCTCCCCACGCCACACACAGGCACCGTCAGCCATATAGGAGAGGCGCGGCTGCGGTGAGGGACAGGCCCTCCCAAGTCCTCCTCAGTCCCCAGGGCTCTCTCCTCCCCAACCTTTCCCATCTTCATTCTCCCTTCCCCGGCATTGCAATACACATCTCTCCCAGCTTCTGCCCCTGTCCCTGCTGGCACCTGCAGGTGTCTGGGGCTCTAACCTGTCTCTCAGCCCCGCTCATGGCGTTAAGGCCGCAATGGCTTGCTCTCATGAACGGGGCTTCCGGGGGCCTGAGAAGCTTTCCTCTGTGGGTCCTAGAGGGAAGGGGAATGGCTGTGGGAAGGTGACATGCCCGTGCCCTCCCTGGTTGCTCGGGTGGAAGCTCAGGCACAGAGAGGGCCCGCTGCCTACCTGACTTGCAGTGTCCTCAGCCCTCACCCTAGCTAGGTGTTGGTTGTGACTTTCACCTTCTGGGGCGGTGGACGTCTGGCGGCATCTGAGGTCTCTCATCCTCAGGTCTCCCAGCAAACCCTGCTGAGGCTTTAAAGCACCTGTGCCTGGCCCCAGTGGCCAAGGGCAGCAGTTCCAGGCATCCTGAGTCAAAAGCACCAGAGATTTCCCTTCAGTGTTTGGAGCTGGTGAGGGCTGGATGCAGGATACGCCATGCGGTCCTGCTTCATTCTGTGACAGCATTCTGGATCTCACTACCTGAGGGGTCAGAAACAAAAGCTGGGCAAGGAGGAGAGAAAGCATGTTCCTGGGAGCCTGTGTGTGGAAAGAGACTCCAGCCAGGAAGGAGGCCATGCCTGCCCCCAGGCCCCAGCACTCAGGCAGGAGCTCTCAGGAGCCCAGGCTGTGTTGCGAGGAAGGCACCAGTGCATGAGGTGCCTGGGCCAGGGGTCTGTGCTCAAACTTAGGCATGAAGCCCCCGAGATAACAGCAGGCCAGAGTGAGCCCTGCCTCTCACCTGCTCCCTGGTGCCTGCAGCCCAAGCCAGGGTTCCTGTTAGCAGAAGCAGAGGAGTCTTTTCATCCTCAGCTTCCAGAAGCTGCCCTCCTTCCTTCCTCTGCATGCCTGGGAAGGGAACAGAAACCCCTGCCAGAGGAGAAAGGGGACTCCCTTCTCAGTCCCTGCTAGCCCAGCCCCCCATCCTCCCAAGCGCTCACTGCTGGTGGGCAAAGAGGACTCCTGGTCTGTGGGCATGGCAGCCTGGCAGCCTGTGAGCTCTGAAGCCTTAGGGAGGGACCTGGTGGGGAGGGGAGCCCCACACTGCTGGGTGAAGCCTGGCGGGGCGGGTGGTGGGGAAGAGGGAAAGCGCAGGGGAGCCAGGAAGCCTGGGAGGTGGGTACACTGAGTGCAGTGGGAAGCAGGGCTGCCTTTAACTGCTGCACTTTTCACCTCCTAAAAAGTGCCCTGGGGGCTGCGGCTGGCTCCATCCCAGAGTGTGGTCTCTGACAAGGCTGTCAGGGGTTTAGAGCCAATCTCAGCCAACTCCGTCTCTGTCTCACAGAGCAGGCCCCCGCCTCCTCAGCCACCCTCTGGAAGAGACAGCAGTTGTTTTCAGGCACAGGACTGGTGTAAGACAAACAGCCCCGAGCCATGTCTGCCTGGACCACCACCTCTCCAGGTGCCAGCATCAGCACCAGGAAGCTGCCAGCCCTGCTCAGCCCCACACAAGTTGGTCAAGTCTTCCCTCCACTCAGCCTCTCTCTCTCCAAGCCCCATTTTGCATAGCCAGTCCTGTTTGCAGGACATAACGGCCCTGTGTGCAGGCCCCTTGCTGACCAAGTTGATCCCTTGGGGCAGACCCCATGTGGTCCATTTACTGAACTTAGAGCAGTCACGTGACCCGCTGGTCTCCTCTTCACATGTCCCATCAAGGGAAAATGCAGAAAATGCCTGACCTCCTAATGAGAGGACCTCCCCAACTATGTACCTCACTCCCCATTCAGGAACCCCCAGGCAGAAGGGGACTGAAGCTGTTGGTTGCAAACCTCCTCAAAGCCAGGCACTGGGCAAACCGGGCAGCTCGGCTGGCTGCTGTGTGCCGCGAAGCCATCCGCTCCCCTGGGCCACCAGCAAGCCCAGCCCCAGCAAGGGTCTTAACCACAGTCCCTGCTGATGTGGGAGAGCTGAGAGGTGGATGCAGAAGGGAAAAATCGATGCATGTCAACAGGGTTGGAAATTTATTTTCCATCTTGGAAGAGGGTATTTGCAAAGAGACGAGGAGGGAAATGAAAAGCTGTAAACACATATCTGCCATCTTCCTCCCTGGGCCATTTCTTGATTAAAAAGAAAGAATCCTTCCCAAACTCCAGTGGAAGCCAAGCTGATGAGGGCCTGGATGGCAGAGACACCTGCTGGGGAGGGAGGCTGGAGAGGGACCCTGTAGTCCTGTGGATCATCACAATGACTAATCCGATTGCAGCAATAATAGTAACTCACATTTGCTGACTGGAAGCGTTAAGCACTTTGTGATGCACTCTACATGCATTATTTAATTTCATTCTTAGAACCAGGCCATGACACAGACATTGTTAACCTCATGTTCGGGAACCTGAGGCACAACGATTCGAGTAGCTTTCCTAAAGTCTCCCAGGTAGCAGGTGGCCGGGGGCTGTGCCCTTAACCACTTCCCTAAACGCCTCCACCAAGCTGGGCAGACACTGCCCCTCTGCCTTCTCGGGTTCTCCAAGTTGGGGGGATGGACTGGCTGGGGGAAACATCCTCATCCTCCCGCTCACTGCTGGAAGCAGGCAGAGCTGTGGGTGCAGGGTCAGACTGGACCCTAAGGTCTCATCCTACTCCCACCAGGCAGCGTGGGTGGAGAAATGCAGCCAGGGCTCAGTCACAGTGCTCTGCCAGTCCCTTCAGTGGGCAGCATCAATGCTCATGTACAGAGCCGTGGACGCTGCTCCTTTTGTGGTGGCAGAAGTGCCAGAGCTGCCCAAGGCTGAACCAGGGGCCCCAGGCAGCCTGTTCCTAAACACATACAGAGCACTGCCCTCCCTGGCCCCACTCAGGTCCCTGGGCTAGGGCTCAATGCCCCTGCTTCCAGAAGCCAGAGGAGCTTTTCTCAGGGCCTTTGACGTCCAGCTTGGAAGAGACCCAGAGGACACCAAGCCCGCAGCAGGACTTCCTCACTCTTTTGTTTTGTTTTGTTTTTTGAGATGCCAGGCTGGAGTGTAGTGGCACAACCATAGCCCGCTGCAGCCTGGAGCACCTGGGCTCAAGGGATCTTCCTGCCTCCCGAGTAGCTGGGACTACAGGCACATGCTACCACGCCTGGCTAATCTTTTAATTTTTGGACACGGTTTTGCTGTGTTGCCCAAGATGATCTTGAACTCTTGGCTTCAAGTGATCCCCTTGCCTTGGCTTCCCAAAGTGTGGGATTACAGGCGTGAGCCACTGCACCCTGCCTGACTTCACCTCCAACCTGCTGCTGGGCGCCCTGGTTTGGCCTCTCCAGCTTTCCCTGCGTCTCACACAGGCCCTGTGCCCTCCACATTTCACCCCTCCCGGGGAGTCTGCTGCCCATCAACTCACAGCCTGGCAAAGGGACCACAACACTGCACTGTGGGCGGGGGGGCAGGGGCCATGCTGCATGACCCAGCTCAGGAGTAGGGTGAGGTGTGGGCAGCTGTGCCCTTGCCTCCTCACAGACAGAGAGCGACCCCACCCCACGCCATCTCCCTGGGCACACGCTCCCAGGTGACCAGGGTTGCTTCTCTCTAAAAAGGCCAGCCCCCTGTCTCCGCCCCCTCTGACACCTCTGAGTTTGGACGGGCTCCATATGGAGTGGGGCAGCGTGTGGATCCAGCTTGCTTTTTTTTTTTTTTTTCACCCTGAGAACAGTTGTGCCAAGGATCGAGCTGTCTCATCCTTCACTTGTTTCACGAGAGCAGAGGCACCTTTCCTTCAGGTGCTACTCATTCATCATCCCCCTACCCCTGGGGCCTGTCTGTCCCGGCCCAAGCCATAGAGGGGCAGCTGCGGGTAACAGGCCCATTTCCAGTATGAGCCAACAGGAATGGCTCTCCGGCATGGGCATGGGGGCCGGTCTTAGTGATGCCGGAGCTGCCAGCACCCTGTGGCCCGCACCAGCACCCGTTCTTTCTTGGGGGAGGGGGGAGAGGGTGAAGAACCAGGGCTAGTGGCTGCTTCCTCTTCCTTGGTTTTGCTCTCTGCAGCGTGGGTATATAGCTCCCACCACCCAGGGAAACCACATCCCTGGAGAATGCAAGGTCACAGTGAGGTGACTGGGTCTAGCCGCTTGCCTGAGAGCCACTCCTCCTCTCCTGCCCTACTTCAGGGCCTGGAGAACAAACTCTTTTAGAGCTTTTCCAACTGACCAGAATCTCCACACCTCTAAGTGGGGAGGCGGCTGGGGACACTTTCCTTATTTCCTGCCACAGAGCCCCCAGCACTCCCTTCCGGGCCCTGGCAAGTTCCTCATGGACTTCCCCCACAGGTCCACCTCAGCCACAGGACAGCTGCCCAGACCTGGGGGTCTTGGGAGTGGGGGAGGAGGGCAGCAGCCAGGAGTTGGGCCACTGAGTCAGAAGGTCCAAGGGCACCCCTAAAAACTGCAGTCTATCTCCCTGTCCTCTTCCGGCAACCCACCTGCATGGGACCCCATCTGGCACTGCATGGGCCGTAGGTCCCCACCCCTCCCCCTTCCTAAAACTGTTCCTCATGCTGAACCTGTGACTCCTCTCCCCCTCCCCCACACTGAACGGAGTCTTGGCCCCCTCTGTCACAGCAGATCCATCTCTGCGACCTCCAAGACCGACTGGTCCCCAGCCCCTACACATGCATGTCACTGTCCTCCTTGACTGCAAGCTCCCCTCCTCACGGTGTGCCCCCGCACCTCCTGACACCTCTCCACCTGCTTGCAGAGATCAGTGTACTTCTCAATCGTTGTCCATATCTTTTCCAAAAAGATTCCTCAATGCTTTTCTTTTCAAAAGGGAAAAAAAAAGGAAAAAAAAAACAATGCCAACAGCCCAGCGTCCGTGAGCAACCCAACAGTAACAAAGCATGCGTTCGGGATGGAGGAAGGTAAGGCCACACATTTCCGTTTGCCGCTTGCTCCTAGGGCTGGGCGGCCGGGATGACTTGGAGTGGGGAATCTGAGCAGCCTTCCTCCCCTCCACTTCCCACACACACCCCTGCCTGCAGGGGGAGGAACAGAAGGGGTCTGAGAGGAGGCATGGAGAAAAGCGCCCACAAAGCTGCCCTGGGGCCAGCAAGCCACCGTTTCTTTCACTGTTAGTCTGTGTTGAAGAATGGGCCCCCACCTCCCCTTACCACATCTTTTATTCATTCATTCATTCATTCATTCATTCATTCATTCATTCATTCATTCATGCTAGAAATGTTTAGGGCACCCATGATTTTCCAGGCCACTAGGGATACAGAGATAAGGCACAGAACCCCCCTGAGGGGGTCTCCTCTAGATGAGGAGACACATGGGAGGGCGAGGGGGCCTGGGCTAGGAGTCAGCATAGTGCAGGGTGGGGTCTGGCAGGCTCTGTGGGGGGGCAGGATGGGCTCACAGAGGAGTGGATACTGGTGCTAAGCTTTGGAAGATGAGTAGGTGTTCTGGGGCCCAGGGAGCCAGTGTAGGGCTTTTTAGAGCAATTTACATGAGCACAGGCCCAGAGGCCTAGAACCACCTGGATGGGTCCAAACACCACACAGCTTCATCACTTTCATGTCTCAGACATAATAACGGGTACCACTAGTGAGGCGTTGGCAGCAGGTCATGGGAAGGCCATTTCATAGTGCTGGGGAGTTCAGAGCTTGCCCTGGGAACTGTTAGGAGTGGTTGAAGGCTTTTACGCAGAGGAAAAGCAAGATGAGGGCCATGCTGTAGACAGCGCACTCTGGCTTTGGCACAGGGCGGGTGACCTGGAGTCAGGAGACCGAGGCGCACAGTGCAGGCTTAGCCAGGGCAGAGGCAGAGGAGGGAGAAGTTCAGCAGAGCCTTGGTTACCCTGGGATGCAGGGGCGAGGGAGAACGCTGCCCCCATCCATCTTACCCAGGCCTAACTGACAAAGGGAAAGTTCGAACAAGGCACTCGGGCAGTCCCTGGCCCCCAAGAACAGCACATTCATCTTGTAAGCCCCTGGGCGGGTTTCCCTGCACTGTGGTGTGATGGGCTGGGGTGCGTCCATGAAGACTGATTGGTGGGACCACCGAAGCTGCTGGGGTATTTGCTGGGGGCCTATGCCAGGGGACGGTGGGGGTGTCATGCCTGGGCCTGGGCTCCCGTTTCCTGGCTTCCTTGGCAGTGTGGACATAGAGGCATTTTGCATCAAGGCTGTTGAAGCTGTCCCTGAGCTGTAAAAAGGGGCCAGTCTTCCCCATCCTGGTGGCCTTGCCTGCTTCTTCCTCGGGGGCCTTCTTCCTTAGGCCTGGCGGCCCCATCCTAAGGAAGCCCCTGCTTTTCTTGCTCCTGCCGGTGCTCTTCTCTCGCCCGCCTGGCCCTGCTGTCAGCGCCCCCTAGTGCCGGGCCGGCCGCGCATGAGGGCGGTGGTACCTCAGAGATCGCCCACAACTCGGCTTGCTTGTGGGGAAAGAAGGCAACAGAGGGGGCTCTTGGAATCTGGAGCTTCCACGTAGAATCCCCAGGGTCTACTCTTGGCTTTACCACCCTCTCCATCTCATAGCACAATGGCCTGTCACCCCAAATTACGGTGATACTGAAGAAGGAGCAGGAAAAAAAGATCCTACCTGCCTTGTTTTCTATCCGTATCCAGATAGCTCTTGACTTTCCCAGGCAGCCAATGTCCCTTGGAGGTCAGGGACCATAGTCAGGCCCTCGGCCCCTGTCCACAGTCCCATCCCCTACTTTCCCCAATTTGCCAAGAGGCCCTGGTGTCCCAGTGAACTGTCCCACCGAGACCCAGGCCACAGACGCGGCTGATGGATCCCAAGGGCCCCTCCCCCGACAAGGCCCAGGTGCCTGCCTCCTCCCCACTCCACTCTGTGGCCGCTGCAGGCCTGCAGAGAGTGGGGGTCAGTGGCTCGTTCCTGGCTGGCTGGTGCTGGCCGGCCCAGGAGTGAAGGCCGTGACCCCTTCATTCCCTAACTAGAGCCAGCTGTACTGCGCGTGTGGTGGCAGGAGGCCTGGGAGCAGTTGCAGGCTGAAGACCAAGGTCTCAAGCCAGACCAGATGAGTGCAACGTTTGTGCACATCTTCCTCTTTCAAATGACTGCTTTGAAGTCCTGCACTCCTGGGTGGACAGGCCAGACCCCCTCAGTCACAGGCAGGCGTTCCTTGGAGAAGGTTGCAGGTCTACATATCTTGGCTTGGGGCAGACACCAGAGACTGCCCAGTATGTCGGTGCCCACATGTCAGAGCCCCCGGGGGAGCCTGAAAGGGAATCGGAACTGGCCACCTTCAGAAAGCCAAGAAGTCATTGGTTCTTCCTTACACTCAGCAAGCAGGGAATTCCGTTCCCAATCCACCTACCCCAGGACCTGACTTGGGTCCAGAGATGGTAGGACAGTTGAGGGGCCCATAGCTGAATGAGATGGGCCAAGCTGCCATATCTGAGATGGCGTGCAGGGCCAATATGGATGTGCAGGGCCAAGGAGGCAGAGGAGGAGGAGGGCAGGACTCCCTGCCTGCCCTTCAGGTTGATGCTGAGGGGCATCCAGGAGACTTGGGGCCCAAGAGGAAAGGAGAAAGGAGGCACCTCAGGCAAACAGGGGCCCTCTCTTCACTGGAGAAGGCCCCGCTTAAACCAGGCATCCTCTCCCAGGGAAACAGGACACTTGCCAGGAGGTGCCAAAGATGAGCCAAGACCTGGCCATCAGGCAGACTGTGTGGGTGAGCATGAGTGAACGAGTGAGTGGCAAAGCCAGGCAGAAGCTCCAGGCACAGGCAGGGTAGGAGAGAGGTGGGGACAGATCAGGCAGGGGCGCTGCAGGCCCTCTGGTGTCCTGGCTTCTCCCCACTTGCCTCCCCTGTAGAGCCAGGACAGGAGGCACTGTGGAGTTGGGGGCATGCTGGCTGAGCATGAGTGTGTGCAGGTGCGGGTACAGGCCCCGTGAAGAGCTGTGTCGTCCACACACATCGTCAGGGTGGCTGTGCTTTGGGCCTAAAGGGCTTCCCGCAATAGGGAGACCGTGCTCTCACACCGGAGTCTGCCAGCCAGGGGGCTTCCCCTCCCCTGGCTGAGCCTTCCTGTGACCTGAGCTGCCCCCTGCCCATCCAGGGAGCAGTGGGGATCCGCCTGTGGAAGGACACAAGTGAACCCAGAATGGTGCCTCAAGGCAGGCAGCCTGGCCCAGATGGTGCCCCCACTCCCCAGGCCCAACTCTAACCAGGCCTGGCCCTCTCCTGTGTCTTGCAGAACTTCAGCGAGAGGGAAGCATCGAGACTCTGAGTAACAGCTCAGGCTCCACCAGTGGCAGCATACCAAGAAACTTTGATGGCTACCGATCTCCGCTGCCCACCAATGAGAGCCAGCCCCTCAGCCTCTTCCCGACTGGCTTCCCGTAGGTACCAGCAATCTGCTTCTGACTGGCCAGCCCCCTCCCCTGCCGGAGGAGGGGAGAAGCCCCGCTCTGGTCCTACCCTCCAGTTTCTGCTCCTCCTTCATCAACCACCTTCCCCAAGCTTAGTGACAGCAGCCACCCGTCCTACCTGGATGGAGAAGAGACCCTTCTCCAAGCACCTCGGCGCACCTGCCCTCTGCCACACCTGTCGGTGGAGGCTGTGGCCAGGAGAGACTGCAGAAGCTCGGTCCCTGTGTATGTTTGCATATGACATCCTGCATTGGATCCGCTTTTGTATTTTTTAACCATACCCACGGTGGGGCGGGGAGGGGGGCCTGGAACAGTGACCAGATCTGGGGGCCTGAGTGGGGACAGAGTTGATGGTCCACCCGGCCATCTTGACCCTGAGTGGATAGTCACAGCCTCAGCTCACATCTGTCTGTGACACGCTGCCCCCAGCTTCCCCTGGTCAGCCCCACTCCAGCACAGGGTGAACGGAGGCCCAGAGTACTAGGGAAGGAGGAAGGGAGGAGACGCCTCTTCTTCCTCCTTTCTTTCCCCATCTGTTCATGGGAAGAGTTTGTCTTTCTTATCTTTAAGCCCCTTTACCCTGGTCCTGTACTGATCAGTGAAGGAAACCGTGGTTACTGAGGCCCTGTCAAAAAGTGCACGTCTTGTCCAATAAATCACGCTGCAATTGGTGTCTATCCCTGAGTTGCTGGGGTCAGGGTCCTCTCCAAACGCGGAGCAGAGTCCTTTGGCCTGAGTGCCCAGGATCCCAACACCCCCTTGGGGTGCAGCTTGGGGGCAGAAGGAGTCAGTGGAGGGTTGGAATGGGAAGAACTTTTGTCCTGGAATTTGGATGGGGCCTGATTTAAGCCCATTCTCCAAGCATCTTGATTTAAGTCCATTCTCTAAGCATCATGCCTATTACCAGAGGTAGTAAGTTCTTGGGGTGCCACAGGGTTGGACCCTCCTCCCTGGGGATCAGGGCTTGCCATGTGCTGGTGGGTTGTTGTCGGGGGTAGAGTCTGGCAAAGCCTTACCTGGGGGGTACCTTGTAATTGCTTCTCTTTTTAAACTCAGAAGATGGAAGGGTGGTCAGGTGAACGTGGGTATCTCATGAAACCTGGCTGGAACCTTCAGATGACAAGTTCCTGATTTTGTCCCCCTGCCCCACCACCACCACTTCTGGACCTAAAGTCAGTGGCAACAAGGAAACAAGAACAGGGAGAACAAATGGTGCATTGAGCAGGAAGGAGACGAATGCTAGTCCTTTGTCCCCTTCCCTGGCCCACACTTCCCAGAGACCCCAGGGAGGCCTTGGAGAATGGAAGGAAACCCACAGAGCCAGGTGTGGTTTGGGTGAAGTTTAATGGAACAGCCATAGAAAAGTTGAGTTCACAAACAGGCCTTCCCATGCAACTGTCCAGCCAGAGCTGGGGCAGCTCCTGGGGACTCTGCCCGCCTCACACACACCCATCCCATCCATGGTGCCTGAGAGGCCTTCGTCTTCAGTACCCTTCACCAGATCAGTTGGGCATGTTGAGGGCAGAGGTGGAGGGTTGTTGAATCATACTAGGCTCTGTAAGCTAAAAAGATGATCCTGCACGGGGTGGCATAAGCCAGTCCCTCCTGCCTGGGCACCTGCAGGGAAGAAGTCACATGCCAGACTGAGGCATGCCGGGAACACTAGCCTGGCCCCAACAGTAGGGGGTGCTGGAGGAGCTGCAGCTTTTCCCCATCTTGCTGAATTATTGATGGGCCTGGCACTGCCCCTACCCCCAGCTACAGCCATGTTTCAGTCATGGGGACGAGGAGGAGCGTGCTACCAGGCTACCTGTGCATGCTGCCCATGGCCTGTCTTCCTAGGGATGGCTTCAGCTGCCCTAGGAAGCATGAGCCCCTCTGAAACCACCCCAGGACACATGAATGTGGCAGAGACCTTGCTGCCAGGGGCTCTCTCAGCCATTCAGGGAACTGGCTGGCAGCTTACAGAGTCAGGAGTCCTCCCTGGCCTGGCCCTTCCCCTCCAGCGGGGCAAAACAGCTGTGGCCTCCCCCAGGCAGGGAAAGTGGTGGGTGTAGGGCTGGACTTGCCGGCTGAGCTTGCAGGACAATCTGGTTATTCATCTGCTTGAAGCCAGGGCAACTCTTTGAGTATGTGGGGGAAGGGTGAGGATAAGAGAGACCAGATAAGCTGGCCCCACAGCGGCTGCCACTGGAGCTCAGGTTATCAGAAAGGCCCTGGGCCTGGCCTCCGGCTAATTGGGGAGGTTATGAAGCCTGCCATAGCCTGTAATCAGCTGGAAGTGAGAGCTGGGCCCCAGGGTGGGGGACCTCACTGGCCACTGGCCCCAGAGCAGCCGCTTCCTATCCTCTACAGATAACATCCAGGGCAATCTGGGACTCTCCCCCAGCCCCAGCAGACCTCATGGTGGCATCACCTGGGAGGGCATCAGAACATGAATCAAACTGTGGCTGGATCAGGGGACCTTTAGGAATCCATGTGACCTCCCGATCCTCTCAGCACTACCTGGTCAACAGGCAGCTTTACTACGGACTTCCAATTTGATGAAGGAAAAATATCTTCATGATCTGGAAAGAGGCTGGTGGGAGCCAGCGTGGCAACTGAAGGAGCGAGAGTACTGTCTGGGATGAGAAAAGGCCCGGACGCCTGAGGCCAATTCAAGCACACAAGCTCCAACACCAGGGCCAGCCCCTCTGTAAACGAGCAGAGGCCAGGCCAGGCAGCCACCAGTCTGGAAGTGGATATGGTTTCTCAGTGATAATTTTTTATTTTCACAATTCAGGGACTCATGAAACTAGAAAGTACCTGAGAGTTCTGTTCGATCCTCATTTTTTGCAGATGACAAGCAAGCCTGAGCCCCAGAGAAGGGCAGGGCCTTGCCCAAGGTCACAAAGTCACACGCCTAGTGAGCTGATCCCTGTCTGCACCTGGCTGCTTAACACCCTGGCCAGTTCCCTTAGAGGGACCCAAATCCGAGCTGACCTCCTTGTCCTGTGCCCCTATCCCATCCAGGACGCTGACCCTGCTGACCCCCATGCGGACTCCATCAGGCTTCCTGCCCGGGCTGACTGAATTTGCAGCTGCTCCCTTGCCCCTGTGTAGTTGGAAGGCAGTCCCCTCACTGCAGACCTAGAACTGGAGGCTCTAGAGGCAAAGGGACAGTGCATCCTGTATGTCTCGAATTCAGAGCAAGAGCCCAGGGGAGGGTGGCAGCCCTGGCATCTCAGGATCACCTTGCTGTAGGAGCAGGGGTAGGCAGCTCAGCAGCACCAGCTTCTTAGGAGTGGGTTTGGACTTGCTCTCTTTAAGGTCCCGGGGTCCCATCCCAGCTCTGCCACCGGCAGGTACGTGGCCTTGGGTACATGACTGCACCTCTGGGGTTCAGGGTCCTCATGTGTAAAGGAGGGAGTAGAGGGGAGAGAGCAACATGCCCTTCCCGGGGGCGCGACAGAGCGGAAGCAGGCAGAGAGGAAGCTGCGGATCCACAAGGCAAACCCATGGTTCCAGGAGAAGTTGACAGCCAGGCCAGGTGCCCCTTAGCAGGGATGGGGAGGGCGGAGGCGGCACAACGGGAGCCCGGATTGTGGCACGCCTTAACCACGCTGCTCCAGGAAATCCCGACCCGCTCCCAGCGAAAGCGTCTCCGAACGCGAACCCAGAGCCTGTGAGCGCGCCGGCAAGCCCCGCCCCTCTGTCGCAGGTGGGCCTGTCCTAGGGGGTCCTTCCTGCGCTCTACCCCGATTCTCAAGCCACTCAGTCGATCGCCCCGTTCACGCTCCCGTGATCCCAGACACCCATAACCATGATCTCGCCTCCATGCACATCCAACGCACGAAGGTTCACAGACGTGCACCTCACTTCTGCGGACCAGGTGTCCCAAGCGTACAGCCGCCACCCGCGGAACTGCGGCCCGGGGCCAGTGAGTCGTCTGCAGCTCCCCGGGTTACGGGATTCCCCAGAACTCTGGGAAAGTCACCCGAAGTCCATCGGGGATGCGGCCTTGTTTTTCGGCCGCGTGATCTCGCCCTCAGGTGCAGAACGACGCCCTTCCCGGGCCCACAGCTGCCAGGCTGGGCCTTGCCATCGCATGCGCCGGGGAAGACCAGGGACCGGGCCACACAGGCCGTGGCTGCAGAGGCGCTTCCGGGGCCACCCCGCGACCATGAGGGAGTCGAGCCGCCGGCTCTCCCCGCGTCCCCCTCCCCATCCTAGCCAGTTGGCCCGACCCTGCACGGGATAATTGGGACGGGAGGGAGGCGACGGGCGGGCTGCGGCTCCAGAGAGACTGCGCGCCTGTCAGCGGCAATTTGTTTAAGTGGACGGGACGGGACGGGCCGCTGCGGGCTGGGGTCACTGAGGCCGCGGCCCCCACCCCAGCCAGACCTGGGACCGCGGGGGAGCCCGGCCCGGCCGCTAAACGGGGCTGGCTGGCGCCAGGGCTCCGGGAGGTGCGGTCCGGCGGGGAAGCCGTGATGGGAAGCGACTCTGTCCAGGGAGTGTCCTTCACCCCCACACTCCCCACGTCCAGGCAGGGACCGACGCGTCCAGCGGCACCCTCCCAGCGGGCCCATAGCATGGGGCCACACACGTCCCCTGAGCTTAGCCTGGGCATATTCGTCTGCCACCTAGGGCTCCCAGTCTGCAGCCCGCGCCCCGACACTCGGACGCACGTCCGTAGCCGGCTCTGCCACGCGGCCGCACAGCCCGAGCTTCCTGCTGCCCACTGCCCCCGGGCTCACTCAACTCCAGCCCTGCACACAGAGAAGGAAGCGGCGGGGACCCCCTGCCACCTCGGAGACTCAACCCGGGGAAGGCCCCAGCAATCCCCCTTAACCCTGCCAGAGGTGACGGGGCCGGAGGACGTAAGGGCAACCACGCCAGGCTCCCGACCGCGGCCCCACCCGGCCCAGGCAGTCCCCGCC